TTCCTTTTTGTCTTTTTTCGTGTCCGGCAATGGATCGCAACCCTCAGTGTCGCTCCTGTACTGGACCGGGACCGGCAACGCCGGCAACGGGATTGCAACCCTTGGCGTTGCGCCCGCACCTTGCTCAGCCAGTGAGCGGGAACTGGTCTGTATGTGGGATCCGAACCCTCGGCGGCAGCGCCGCCGCGCTCCCAAGCGGTGCACTGTAGCAGTGCGCCACCGGGCCGGCCCCAAAATCTTAAATTTTTGAGGTATTATATTACTGGGGTGAAGAGTGTGGGTGTTGAAGATTGATCTGGATTTGATGTCATCACTTGCTAGGGTTGTGACCTTAGATAAATAACTTAATCTCTCCCAGTCATATAATTTAAAGCCCAGTGCTTGGCATAGAGTAAGTGTTCAATAAACATAGCTATTAAATGCAAATTAAATAAATAACATTGGAAGGTACAAAGTGAAGGTGCTGGGTCTGGCTCTTTGCTATGCCAGTCCTCAAATGAAGCAAGGGCCCCTAGCCCCAACCAGTCCTCAAATGAAGCAAGGGTCCCTAGCCCCATTGCTTTCTGAAAGAGGAAGTTACCCCATTTATGCTAGGAGTGGCCCAATAGTAACAGCCGCCCCTACCAGATTTCCATTCTCTCTGTTCTGTAAGGGCTGGCATTGCAGACAAGCCCGGCAGTACAGAAGTCACGGGGTGGTTAACCTAAGAAGAGTGTGCTGTAAATTCTGCATCTTAAGCTCACAATTTGTGACCCACTCTGCACAAATGTGACCTTAATACTACAGAGACATACTTCTAGCTGCTAGACTTTTTTCACAATCAATAACCAGTAGGCTGGGCTCTAGAGTTATGTTTTTCAGGCAAAAGGAATATTAATTGGATACAAACCAGAACCTGTTTAAAAAATGATCGATAGGTGTTCATGGTTGACTATCTGATGAAGGTTTTTTAGGGGAAACTCAGACGTTCTGGATATATATTCCTGACCATTGAGATGACTATAAGGAAAACAACAATGTCGCTAAGGTTTAGTCCAGACAAAATATCCTACCAGACTGAATCAGCATCCCTTAGGACTCTCTTAGAACTTTGTGCCATCTCATTTATGAATGATGGAAGAGTTCTGGTGGAGATTCCAATTCAGAACGCATAGTTCTCTCCGTGGGTAATCTTTATGTCACCCTGACATAATCTCTATGGTACATCATCACCCAAATAGTAGAGAGAAGAGGGCAATTCATTGAGACCCGAGGAAGAAGAAAAGAGGCAAGATCAAGTGTAGAATGCTTCTGTAAGAAGCTTAGAAGCAAACAGTAAGATATTGTACAGGATAGGAGGGAAGACAGAGAAAGACAGAGTGAGCGACCCTTATGCCCGGTCTGTATTTACACAATAAGGAAACCTCTCCTCTGGGGGTTCCGAGTCTCCCCGTAGCTCACAGGAACGCTGCTCGCGGGGTCACGCGTGGCAGAGTCCACGCGGAGCTCTGGCCCTCACTGTCCTTCCCAGTTGCCAACACTAAACGTCACTGGGTGGGGGGATGACGGTCAGAAGGATTTTCCCCTGCCACACAGTGCTGGAGCTTCTCTTCCTCTCTTTTTGAAGAAGTGCGTTTATGACTGATCGCTCAACACCTTGTTGGTTCTGATTGCAGAAAACACACCTTATAAATATATGATAACCATCCTGTAATAGAGAGTGTGACAATTTACTTCACAGTGCGTTCCGGGCTGCTAATTGATCGTTTCAGTCCAGGGACGATTTGGAATAAATTATAGCCATCAAAAGGATATCACAGCTCATTTTGGTGGAAGGATTTCCACGTCGCTTCGCGTTAGTCTCCCGGAGAGAGCGGATTGCACCTGGCGGGCCGCAGAGGAGGAGAGGGAGGGGGCAGGGGAAAGGAGGCCAGTGGGGCGGGGCCCGGCGGGTGGGCGGGGCTTCGTCGCGCTCGGGCGGCTGCAGGACCGCGGCCGGACGGTAGAGGCCCCCCTGCCCGGGCGGCTCCGGGGCGGCGCGGCCGC